TAAGCCAGTTCACTTTTTCCCTTTGGATCAACCAAGAGGCATTCATAAAGGAGAGATCAGAAACTTTATAATTAATTTCTTTGAGTGTGTAATTAAGAATAGGGTCATCAGGTTTGGCCTGCGCCTTAGCCAAAAAGGAAGATTGAATTTTAAGAAGATCATCTAGCTGAGAGTTGATATGATTAAAATTGGACCATACTTCACGTTTGATGTTGCTCTTAAGCTTTTTGAGAGAGTTACACAGAGAGATAAGAGGATTCCCAGATAATGGACTCGAAAAAACATCCAGCACATTGCTCCAGTACCTGTCAATTTTTGTCCAATAATTCTTGAAAAGAAATCTATGATTAGAGTTGTGAGCATCACCTGAGTGTATAATAAGTGGGCAATGGTCTGAAGTAGAGGGAGATTAAATTGAACAGAAAGAAGAAGGAAAGTCTTTAAGCCACGCATCATTAACCAATGCTCTGTCCAACTTAATATGTATCGGATTGTCAGCCTGCTGGTTGAACCAGGTAAAATTGCTACCAACCGTCTGAAGATCCAGCAGGCGGTTATCAAAAATCATACGATTGAAGTCAGCAAGGGAGCCATGAGAGAGAGGCGAACCTCCCAGTTTTTCATAAACGAAACGGCAGCAATTAAAATCACCTAAGACAACCCAGGGAATGTGTGAAGGAGGGGAGAATTCTTCAAATTGTTCCCAGAGTTTTTTCCTTTCAATACTGCTGTTAGAAGCATAAATGACAGAGAGTTGGAAAGAGAGATGAGAGCCAACTTTTATCATACCAGATATACATTGAGGAGAAATGTGATTAGGAGCAAAATCAATCTTGCTAGCATTCCATTTGACCCATATCCTCCCCGAGGATGAAAAATTAAAGTTGTTACAACTTTTCTCATAAGGGAAGATCAAATGATTTTTTTCAAAAAAAGGATTTTGAAAAGCAGAGTCGTGTATCCTTGTTTCCAGGATACACAATAAATCAAGCTTGAAAGAAGCCACCAAGCGTTTGCATCTTAAAACTTTATCCGGCCTATTAAAGTCCCAGACGTTCCAAGCAGCCATTGACGGCAGAGACATCAAGAGGATGAGGAGGATTGGGGCTTCTTTGATTGCTTGCCCCTAGCAGATTTTTTGCGTACATTCACATTTGAATTCACTTGGTTTTTTTGGTTTGAAGCAGACTTATTCTTAGAGACAGGATTTTTCAATTCTTCAAAGGTGATGGTGTCCTCAGGCTTTGAAACTTCCTCATTTTCTTGTAAAATATCAAACCTATTTGGAGAAATAATACCATGAGGTCTAACCATGGAGCTAGAAATCTTCCCTGAAGAGATAGAATTCACTTCAGTTGGAGAGTTTAAATTTGGGATAACTTGTCCCGAATTAATAACTGTGTCAGCCATCTAATCCTCCGGAATCTTACTCTTAAGGTCTGTATGAGAAGAAAAAATTTGTTCAGATCTTAGCTAGAAAACTTCCCTAAAGAGATAGAATTCACTTCAGTTGGAGAGTTTAAATTTGGGATAACTTGTCCCGAATTAATAACTGTGTCAGCCATCTGATCCTCCAGAATCTTACTCTTAAGGTCTGTATGAGAAGAAAAAATTTGTTCAGATCTTGGGTTTTTTGTGGAAGGGGAATGAGGTTGATAATGAAGGTCTTGACCAAGATCGTTCTTATTAATCGTCAGATTATTGGAGCCATTTCGACCAGGAGATGAATGATGTATGGGTTCCTGTAAGGAGTCTGATACAGGAATCTCACTGCTAGGGTTAATAATCGGAGCTGTAGAGGGAGCTGAGACATGATTATTCACCAGAGGTTTGGACAAGGGTCTCTTATTCGCTTTCCTACTGTGACTTCTACCCCGAGGTGGAGGATTATTTGAAAAACCAATGGCTTTCTCACCTTCAACAATCGGTTTAGTAGGACAGAAGGAGAAGAAGTCAACAAGGGACTTACAGTGATCAGAAGGCGTCGGTCTCCACTCGTATTGAACTTTTAGAGCAACAATATCACCATCCAGAGAAACTTTAATTTCTTCAGGGTAGGAAGCATGACAGTCTACCAAGACACAGACCCCGGCATATGTCAGCCTAGTCTTCTTCGCAGTGAGGGAGTCCGCAGCAAGTGGAACCCCAATTTTGCTCGCAATACGGGAGATCCCTTCAGAATTCCAGCATGCAAGTGGTAAGTCATGGATCTTCACCCAAATGGGAACAGAAGTAAAATTTTCTTTGATAGGCTTGAACTTTGGATGCCACTTTTGCATGATAAATGGTTTTCCAAGAAGAAACCAAACGCCTTTAGTCCAAACAGTATCATAATCTTCCGAACAAGAGAAACGAAATAGAAAGAACCCGTCACTGAGCGAAAACATCCCAAGCTGACCTTTTAGTTTCCACGTTTTGTTAATCGCACCGAGCAAAGCCTCGTAGTATGGCCTTCTCCCAATCGAATAACCTACAAGACATCTACTCCAATCTTCCGCTCCAGAAGACAGCTTTTCCTCAGAAAAAGGAACAATTTCTGGTTCCTGAGGGAAGTGAGATAGATGAAGCTCATCGGGAGAGGAAACATTAGGAGAAAAAACGACATTCCAGTTGCGTTGAGGAAGTGGGGAGACAACTCTATCAAGAGAGTGAGGGGGAAAATCTGAAAGAGGGAAAGAAGAATCCATGGACGAAAAACCTCCGGCGACGCCGGAGGAGGAGGAAGGCCTGGCGGCGCAAACCAGTAAAAAACCAGAGAAGAGGGAAACCCTAGCAGAGCTGGCGGCACGTTTTTCCAATTCCTCAGGTTTGCACTACATTTTTTTACTTCACTGCATTTTTTTACTTCACTATATTTTATTTCACTGCATTTATTTTATTATTACTACTGCGTTATAATTTATTGAATTTTTGTTATAACTCATGTTTCTAATATTTCTTATTTATTTATGTGTACATGGCTTCAGGTGAAGAGCCTAGTAGAGGATTGATCAAAAATATTTTTAATAGGTGCTCCACGAGTGGGTAAAGGTTGAAACTGTGTAGTATGCTGAGACGAGGTGAAGAGCATATTTCTTATTTATTTCTTAATCACTGCAGCTAGACCAGCTAGGACAGAACGTACTGAGGGGATCACCTTGTCTCAGCCTACTACACAGTCTCAGCCTTCTACACAGTCTCATACTGCTACACAACCTTAGCCTGCTACACAGCCTTTATCCACTCGTGGAGCCAAAAGCCCGTAGTTCTACTCAGCAGACTCTTGATTTCCTTCACCAGATCCCACGCAGAGTACTCCTTTCTACCCATACTATGCACTTCCACCTTATGCTGGTGTCCCTCCTACTTATTCATATCCACCATATGCTCCACCATATTATCCTCCACCGCCCCATCAGCCTGCTACAACTGGACCTTCGACAGCAGCTGGACCTTTGACACCAACTACACCAGAGCAGTCGACAGATGGTAGAATGTTGATAGCACCGGAGGGTGACACGTACGTACATTCTCTTTTATTTAAGCTAATGAATATTTTTATTTTATATTATATATTTATTTCACATAACCTTATTTTTGTAGGTTCCACCCATCAAAACAACCGACACATAAAATACGGGACATCATACGGAGCAGGTTTGACACTCCTTATGTTTCTTGGAAGAAAGTCCCGAAAGAAGTACGGAAAATGTGGTTTAGAGTGTTTGAGGTATTTTTAGGTATTAGTTTTTATGTTATGTCTAATTAAATGATTTATTCCTTTTTACTTAAGCTAACAAACATATATATATATATATATATATATATAATGTAAAAAGATTTTTGTTGGCTGTCATAGCACAACAGAAATAGATGCTGGGTAGAGAACCAACTCCTGTGGAATTGTATAGTCACACTCATAAGCGACAGGAGGATCAATAATGGATTGATGAGAGAGCAAGAAAATTCCATGTAGGTATATGTGTTTAATATTTTCTATTTTTTAGTTTAATTATATATATTTATATTCTACTTTCACAGGAAAAATATACACGGCTTCGAGAGAATCACGCCACATCAGGTGAGGGCTCTTCTAACGGCTCTGTGGAGTTTTTGGAGTACCGCATGTGGTCGCAAGCCATTGGAGAAATACAATATGGTAGAGTTTATGATTTAGGTTCGCAAGCTCAGGCATACGAGGGGATGACCTCCTCTACTGCATCCAACTTCGCATCCAATTCACATGAGTCTATACATGCTCAATAAATAACTGCCCTTCAAGCAGAGCTAGAACAAGTAAGAAAATCACAAGCTGATTGGCTAGCTCAGTTGCAAGCGTAGGTTCAAATGCAGATGCAGGAGCAACACAATCAGTTGTTGGTTGAAATGCGCAAAATGAGGGAGCAGATGAGTGGAAAAGAGGTAGCTCCACTGAGGAAGAGTCCACGGATTCAGAGTAGTTTACTTTAGTTATATGACTTGTTTATTTCTTTGAATATGTATTATTGAACAATATGTGATATTTTTAGTTGGTTGTTGCTATTGAACAATTTGTTTTAATGGATATTTTTATTTTTGAGCATATGTTGAAGTTCTTTATGTTGTGGAACTGTTGTGTATCTGTTTTGGAATTATATTGGTGTATGTTTGCAGGTGTGAAAATTTGATTGTTGGCTGGAAAGGAATATATTTTTATCATTACTACAGGTTTCTGGCGGATTTGGCGTCGGAAATATGACGGAAACGACGATAGAACGAATCAGAGCAATCATGCCGGCGTTTTTTTGTCCGCCGGAAATTTTCGACACCTGTTATGGCGACTTTTTCGCCGGCGTTGTCCGACACCGTTTTTGCGCCGGAAAAAAGCCATAGCTTAGTTACGGTGAACTTACGACATTTTTTCCGTCGGATCTATACGTCGTAAAATACCGATGCATAGGGCGCCAGGAAAATCGGTTAAAAAACGACATTTTGACCAGCATATTTTGCGCCAGTAATGCGCCGGAAAGGTTTCCGGCGTATTATAAATATCGGAAGACATTTATCGACGCGCACCAAACAGGGGTACAAAAATCCGATGGAAATGCGCCAGAAACCCAGGACTTCCGTCGGATTTCACGAGTTACCAGCGGATATTGTCCACCGATAATAAGCGTGTTTTCCTGTAGTGTAAGGAAATAATGTTCTAAAATAACAATAATAATAATAATTCACATAATAAATAAGCATAATTAAACTTTCACCTCATGTCCCTTCATCATTCATTATTTTTTTATATTAATGATTTCTAAACTCATGTTTTTTCATAATTGAAAATAAAATAAACACAACAATGCATACAATATAAGGTGTTGCTCATAGAGGCATGCATACATACCTAATTATTCAACACACAACATTATCACTCGCACCTCCCACATAATAGCTTACATAATAACATTCATACAATATAAGGTAGAAAAAAAGCATAAAGTCTGAATATAAATGCTACTAATATAGAAGATGACTTTGAAGCGTAAAGGTATCCTTCATTATAGGCCAACAAAGATAAGGTGGCCTCGAGGAAGAAAATGGCAAATGGGTTCAGTCCCTGGCTTCACCTTCAAAATTTTGAACCCTAGATAATGTGGTGCCCATGCTGATGTGTCAAGATGGCATATTGCTGCAGCATCCACAACCACTCCATTTGATCCTAAAAGATGCACCTTATATGCCTCAACATTTGTTATTGTGTGGCAATTATATACTGCTTTTGGGTATGACACAGGATGACAAGACACCAATGCCTTTGCTTCCTACACATACATATATTTAATATTTCAATATACAACTATACATATCTTTATGTTTAAATATGAATCTTCTTAATTAAAACTCACCACGTACATATCTTCTTTCGATCGGATCAAATATACCTGCTTCGGCACCCCTAATTGGTGAACACCACCTTTCACAGTCGTCTCAATGACATTCACATCTCTGTTGCCTATCTCAGCCTTGACAAAATCCGCCATGTCTTCCAATGATGTGACACAACGCTTTATCTCTCCCTCAATAGGCTGCTCTTCACAGTCTTCCAATGTTTGCTGGATGGCTTTGGCTTCTATTGAAACCCGTGTGATGTTGAAGAGTCCGAGGATTTTAGTGAGTTTGGTGGAGGAGAAAGGCGTGGCCTTGGCCATCTCGACTGAAAGGAAGGGTTGCATTGAGATTGACTTGCTGAGTTCGAGAGTCATCTTTGTGCCCCGGTTAAGGCTCTCCTTCAGGAAGAAGAGCTGAGCAATGAGGTCGTTTTGGTTTGGCGTCTCATTGTCTACGCATTAGTAGCAGCCGAAATATTTCGAAATTTTTTGGCCTCTTTCAAACTTAAACGACTTCATTTCTTTCTCTATAAATTAGGCACATTGAAAAAAATTAAGTCAGATAAATTAAAAACTTTTTGAATTTGCATTTGAGTTTAGTAAAACAAATGTATGGATTTCAAATTTTTTCTGATATAATTAAAAAAAAATCATTATAGAGAGAGAAGGAGAGAAAGCGAACGAGAGCGCAGTAGCTCCTGGATGCTGGCAGGGATGGGAGTTTGCGGAAGTAAATCTTTCCAATATGTTTGGGCAGACGTTGCTTTCCCCATCGCTGCATGCGAACTTGTGAGCTGCTACAATTAAAGAAAAAAAATTAAACACTTATGAGCAATACTCACAAGCTAGTTTTAAAACATAGAAAACTACAACATTTTTTGCAGTTTTAAAATAAAAATTATAGCTTTTTAACTGACTAATTATATCTTTTGACGTTTTATCCTTCGATGAATAAGAAGTTTACCATGAGAATGAAGATAGCGTAAAGCAGGAAATCCATGAGATCAAAGCCACTGCAATGAGTGTTTCAAATTGAAAGATTCTGAACGATTTAGTAACTCTATGGTACTCTCTGGACCTCCTTATATAGCAGCCAATGGATGGAGATAATGATGTAAATGAGTCCAGTTGAGCTTGAGACACTTTAGGCTTGAGCTTGATTAGTTAATCGAGTTTGAGCTTTATTCTACGAATTCCAGTCGGCTCATATGCCGGCTCGTTTATTTTGAAAGAGAAAAAATGCTTATGATTCAAATAATTATTATAATAAAATAAAAAAAGAATGAAAATTTAGAAAAGAAAAAATGAGGAATCACTTAATATAAGAATGTGAGATGTAATTTATAAATATTTTTAATAACTTTGTACTAAAATCTTGAATAGTAATATATCTTAAGTGCCTTTTATATTCATATTTTTTAAACGAGTCAGCCTGCAAACTAAATTGTCAGTTAGGACTTGCTCAAGCTTGGCTCATTAGCACATCGAGCTAAGGTGACGCGCCATTTATTGAATCGAGCTTGAGCCTACTCACGAATTAGCTTGAACTAGACTCACTAATGAGCTCATAATTATAAAGATTCCTATATATATTAAGTTAAATTTTACATATAATGCAAGATGATTCCTTTTTATACAAGACAATTTTAACTATCTTACAGAATATAAGTTATAACTATACAAAAATAATAATAATTAGCCTGCCGTTCAAAAAATAAAGATATTTAGAATCATTGTTTTAGATAACTTTTATTACTAAAAAGATTATAATAAAAAAGCAGAAACCTTCAAATCTAAACATTTGCAGAATCTTTCAAATCTAAAAATTTTATAATACAAAGTGGTTTTACATGAATAGTACATAAATAGAACCAACTCTTCATTTTGAATTATTAATTGCTCAGTAAAATTTGAAATTAAAAAATTTCTGATTCTTTAGCAAATTTAAATTTACTCAAAGTTGGAATCACAAAAGAAAAAAAAAATATTTTTAAAATGTCCTCATAGGATGGAGTACAACTATAAGAAAATTAATGTATTGATATTTCATAAAATTATCGAAAGTTCACTTTTTAGAAAATTTTAGGAAAGGAATATATATCTCTCCACTTGTGTCTTAACACAATGACAATTCCAGACATCTGTAAGATCATCACCTTTTTAAATATAAAAGTAAAATTATAAATTATTTTGTTATCTATCTTAAATAATATAAATAAAAACTTTGCAAAATCTTAGTATTTAGCCTGCCGTTCAAAAAATGAAAATATATAGAATCATTTTTTTGGGTAGCTTCTATTACTAAGGAGAATATTAGAAAAGAGCATAATCTTTCAAAAGTTTCAAAAGAAAAATAGACCTGTGTTTAAAAAATTAGTGGAATCTCATAGGTTCCCACCTTTTTCCTCTTTCCAAGTCTTTCGTCTATATTCTCTTTTGCTTGTTGCTTTGCACTTGTGTATTTTTTTCCCTAAAACTAAGGAATATATATCTTTCCACTTGTTAACACTATGAATAAGGATTCCTTGCAACTACAAGTTGACTTAATTCAGATTTATAAAGAGCTTGTCCATATTCCTGTAATTAAGAACTTTATGATTTGTCATAGCATAGAAATATCACATAAAGGAACAAAAAGGGAGAAAATAGTGAAGAGATATTAGGGGAGAATATTATTCCTTTATTCATATATTTAATAATTTAGTTCTTACTATTTTCAAAAAAATAGAAAATAATTAAAAAAAATCTATCTATTTTTTCATGCTATGTAGTTCTTTTAGCATAAAGATATATATAAAAGTAATTTCAAAGAAGTAAAATTATAGAAGGAAATTCTTCCTATGTCATAATTTACAATTTTTTAGCACAAAGAGAAAGGCTTTTTTGAACCATGTGCTTTTTTATTTAATTAGCTCGTAAGCCCCTAGTGAGTTTTATCAAAAAAAAAAAAAAAGTCATTTACCAAAAATTTTCATAATAATGAAATAATTAAAAAAAATAGCTTTGTCATATCTTACAAATTATTTAGCACAAAGTAAAAGGGCTTTTATTAATTTTTTTTGTAAATTTATAAATCATTTCACATATAAAGAGCAATCATTTCAATATGCATACAAATTCATATATGAGAAAGATGTTTAAGAGTCATTTTTTTTAATATTTTAAATTGAGATAACTTTCTTTTACAATTTTTTATAATTCTTTATACTCATAATATTTTAATGAATGAATTAAATTATTATTTAGACTTTCTATTTGGTATAAGACTTGAGATTCAATGCCCCACTCCAATTACTATTCTTCTACTCTCTCCTCAGGGAAACATCTTCTAGTTGGCAAATAACTTAAAGACCCAACAAGTATCATATTATGATTTATTTTTCTTTAGAAGCATTAGTCACTCTTCCACTCTTTCAACTACATAGATAAGGATTGATTACCCTATTTAGCTACACGCTAGCTCCCACTATTACAAATAATTACCATGACCTACTTCATATCGACCATACTCCCTAAATCCAAACATGCTTTAGTTTTAAGCTTCAAATTTTTGGCACCTTTGTGCGCTACTTTGTCATGCACTTAGCTTGCTTCAATCATCTTTCTACTTGAATTCATCACACTTTACGTGCATGCTAAGAACTCCCCTTTATCACCTTGTGTGCTTCCTATTAGTCACTTTGCCATAGACAATAGGCTTATCCTTTAAATGACATTCAAATTCATCAATATGCTTGCACCAATACACTACCATTATGCTCTAACAGAGCACCAAGCTCATTTCTCTTAGTTAATTCAGTGCATAAACTACCACCTTTTCTTATACAGGAGCAGAAAAATTCCATGCCTTCTCCAATCATGCACAAACACTCCATTTATAGTCACTACATCCCTCACTATAAGAAAATACCACAAATATTGTCTAGCGGGTTAAGCGATTTTTTTTTTGCCAAATCATTGATATAATTTATGCAAAAAATTCTATCAATATCTTTTTAGTGAATTTTTTTACCAAAATTAAGTTGAATATATTTGATGAAATTTCTAATGACATTTTACAGGAAAGTTCATTGATAAACTGAAGTAATTTGATCAACATGAGAAACTGTTTCCATCAAAAGCTCCAGGGTTTCTCCATGCGGTCTCTCTTTCGATTCCTCTCCCTTTTGTTTCTCTGGAGAGCTCTTGGGCCTTGAAAGAAATGTAATCTTGTACGCTCGAGTGATGAAAAATTCTCTTATACCTTTTCCTAGTTGTCATTTAATTTTGTTGGCCTTTGGATGGCTAGATGTTGTTCTTTTCATTTGAATGGTTTTTTCTGCTATTTATTTTTCATCTTAATCAACTTTAGTCAATCATGAGTATTAAAGTCAGTAAGATTTCCAACCCTGGACTTTTTTCCTAAAAAAAGAAAATCATTCTTTTAAAGATGAATTTTGGGGTGATTCCCCTTCTTTCTTATTCTGGAATCTTAAAGCAACTGCCCACTATGGTTTGAAGCTCTTTGGATATCTGAGGAAGAAATTGAAACTCTAGTTATCCTATTTGAATTTGTGTTGGTTGGGAAGTTCACTACCCGTAGACCTAAGCTTGACCATATTAAAAAATTTTTCTTTAAACATAAGCTTATTGGAGAGTTCTTATGGACCCTTAATATATTTTAATTTGGTTTTGAAATGATCATGATTATAGACGAGTGACTGACCATAAATTTTAATGTCTATAACTTCTATATAAAACTTATCAAATGGACTCCTTTGTTTAATATCTCTACGGAATCTTTTATTATTTTGATTTGGGGTTTATTTCCTAATTTGAGATCTCATATATTTTTTCATGATATTCTTCATGGGTAGGGTTCTTTGTTTGAAAGAATGTTACAAACAGATAATGCTACAGCTAATGACACATGGCCTTCTATTTCCATGGTTTTAGTTGAGGTTGATATATTCAAGAAATATCCCAAAAGTGTATGGCTTGAATAAAAAAAATTTGATTACATGCAAAAAGTTGTCTTGGAAAAATTTCCTTAATTTTGTGATCACTGTAAGAATTTGGGCTATGCGAGGACTGGTTGTTTTGTACTACATCCTCAACTCAAGAAAAATAGGCTTTTATCCCAAATGTTCCACTGCCAGTGTTAAACTAGATAGTCTTATTGTCACTAGTGTTGTTATTGAAACTGTTATTGATCTTCTATTGGAGGTCAATAAGATTCCTAATTTGATTATCCATGGAATTGTTCCTTCTATTAATGTTAACTCCACAAACTATTTAACGAGTGATGTTCCTTCTTTTCCTATTATTCATACAACTTTGCT